TTCATCTGCATGTTGTAACAGGCTGTCCAGAGTCTGAAGGAGGGAGTGTATATCAGGCACCAGTTGGATGGCTCTCTCTTTGACCTTCGTCACTTGAATGCACGGACGAAGTGCCTCCATACAGGAAAGCCTCCAAGTTCCTCCATCCAGGAAATCCTCTTTGCTGGTGACTGTGCGCTCCTGGCACACAAAGAAGCGATCTACAGTTGATGCTGAACAGATTTTCAGATGCTGCTATGCTCTTCAGCCTGACTATCAGCCTGAACAAGACTGAAGTACTTTACAAGCCCATGCCAGATGCCAACCCTGTAGAACAAAAAAATCACTGTTGACAATACCCAGCTGACAAATGTAAACAGCTTCAAATACTTGGGAAGCATCATCTTGAGCAATAGGTTTTGGACAAAGAAATTGATTCCAGGATCAGCAAGGCCAGCCAGGCACTGGGACAGCTGCATACTAGAGTGCTCAATGAACACAACATCCATATCTCCACAAAACTGAAAGTCTACAGAGCTGTGGTTGTCCCTTCTCTCCTATAGAGATGTGAGTCCTGGACTCTGTATTGAAGGCACATCAAACAACTGGAGAAATTTCACATGTGCGCCCTCTGCTCCATCCTTGGCATTCATTGGCAAGACCGTGACTCCAGCCTGGAGGTCTTGGATCATGTGGAGTCCACCAGCATTGAGTCCCTGATTATCAGGGCCCAGATGTGGGTGGAACACGTCATCAGAATGGATGACCACTGTATGCCTTGCCAGTTGCTCTATAGTGTACTGGAATCTGGGAAGAGGCCTTGAGATCAACACGCAAGTGCTATAAAGATGCTGTGAAAGAAACCCTACGCCACTGTGACATCCAGCCAAGGGAACTAGAAGCTGCAGCTGCTGACAGAACCCACTGGCAAGCCCTGTGCTATGAAGCTTCCACCGGCTTTGAAGACAGGCACCACCAAGAACTGATAGAAAACTGTGAGTGGCATTACAGAATAACATCCACAGTTACTACAACAATGGACTTCCAGTGCTCCCATTGTGCTAGACTCTACTTCCAAACTGGGACTTCTTCTTCAAACCCTAAGGACTATCATATATAACACAAGGGCTATTTTGCGTAGTGGGCAGAACTACCAATACTGGTCCACTTCCTCTGTTCAACCCTGCCCACAACTTGCTCTCCCCAGCTTCCAAGAAAATCCCGAAGAGATTTTTGGAACTATTTGGTTCCATCAGCATTTTTGAGTAGATTATCTTAATTGTTCCTCATCCTCACAGAGGCTTCAAGTCCTGGTAAATTAAAGTCCACCAGCAGCTTTTGATCCATCAATGACAAAAGAACTACAGTACAGAAAAACTTTCTATACCAAACATAGAAAATGAGATTCATTGTGTACACAGCTGAATGAATGGATCATATACCAGTTTGAACAGAAATATGCCTTGGTGTGTCTGAACTTGGTTGTTTGCTTGCAGACATTTCATTACCCGACTAGGTAACATCATCAGTGCTAGTGAGTGTGGGGTCTGATGTTCTCTCAGAGTACCAAGGACTCCACAGTTCAACTCTGAGCTACATATATTCTCTTCTATTAGAAATATGCCTGCTATGGAGTCAATATGTCCTAACTAGTGGTTCAGCATATATATTAAAATCTCTCAGCACAATATACTTGGAGGAATCTTATACCATCTTCAAGTCTACTCTGGCTAATTGAGGAAGACAGATTGTTGGGTATCTAGGTGGGCAGTACAACAGAGACCTTCCTCCAGATACATATACTCAAAGCCAAAAAACTACAGAATGAACTGTCTGGGCAAGGGATAGTATTGTAATTGGTCATTTCAACTCTGCATCCCTCTCTTTCATGTCTTGCTTACTCCCATTTGCATGCTACTATTAAAATGGAAAATCCAACTGAGCAAACCTGAATTCTCTCCTAACCTCAATCTAACCAACTTTTGGTGGTACATGCTACTTAAGATCATTTCTGGGATGGTTTTCTTATTCTCCTACTTGGTATGAACAGTGTGGGGACAGTTATCACAGGCTCTGAACTGACATATAGTCTGGTAAGCAGCCATAACATCCTGTTTCATTCCCATCCCATTGAAAGCCACTGCCCACCATATTTAAATCTGCTCTCTACTGTTATAATTTCTCTAGTTCTTCATTGAATAAAGAGGTCTCTTTGTTCCTTCAGTCACTGCTAGGACAGCTGCTATAATTTTTAAAAAAATCCTCTTTTTCATCTTTAGGCAAGGATTTTACCTGAAGTTTTTTTTTCTGATGGAACCAAATGAACTACTTTGCCTCAATTGACTTGTCTTCAGTTCGTCTAGCCCAAGTCTCTGAATATACAAGCATTTTGTTTTAGGTGCTAAGTCTAGGCAGCATATTTTGTTTATTTCTTTGTTTTGGGGAGGGGCTTGGAAGTACAAAGTTGTTCACAGATAGATAATATCTCTGATTTATCTCCTGGACATGAATAGTCCAATAAGAGTTTCAAGAACTTTGGGGGGAGGCAATGGCTCAGGCTTCCACCCTAAGGCAGATTCCATGGTGAGAGATATTAGCTCTTGACCCATCCTCTGCTTTTAATCCACCCCCACCCCCACCTTGCCAGAAATGTTTTTAAAAGCCAGATGTGATGGCAAATTAGTTCTGGAAGCAGATTCTCTTCCTTGAGTGGTTTGGTTTGGAGGGGGGCTGAGGTTTATTTCTCCCTGCATGTGCTTTTGTGACTGACTGTACTTGGCAAGCTGCAGTTTGTTCAGCTGTCTGTTCCCCTGCTTAATCTGGGGTCTTAAAATAAAAACAAACAAGCAGATATTCAGAGAAAGGACACAGCATGGAGACACTGAGAAGTATTTGTTCCTGCACTTTGGCAAAAAGCACTTCACCAATCCCATGCACTGATTCTCCACTATGGTTAAAAGAGCTGGCGGTTGCTACAGTTAAAAAAAAAAGAAGAAGAACTGCATCAGGGGTTTGATTATTTGAGTTCTGTTTACCCAAAATAAAAACAGAAACAATAGTGCAACTAATTCATGCTCAGTGCAGAGTCATTTTAACAACTTGCCAGTGATCCAGAACAAAATTGAGGAATAAGAGGAAGCTTTGCCTTAGTAATAAAGTCTAAAGTGTAAAAGTGATCAGAGGCTTGCAATGTGATTCTATATAGGTTTCCTGTCTTCTAATTTGGTTTACTCCAATACATTTTCAATAAGAGGCACCAACAAAATTTTGAAGTTTCTGAATGTTAGGATAACCATGCAAGAAAGCAAGCCTGCCACAGGGATATAGAACATCCCTTTTATCAGTTACATACAAATCAAAAGTATTACAATAAACAACAGTTGATCATTATTAACGGACGAAGGATAATAATTATTCGTATGTAGAATTTTTTAAAAAAAACACTTTTTTCAGCAAGAAAGTTTTCAGAGTGCTTTACCTATTGCAATAGGACAGCATTGTAAATCTCGTAAAGTGAGCAAGCCAGCAGACAGACAAAATACTTTAATCTTACACTTCTGCATAAAGCATATGGGATTCAGGTTAGAGATTCTCTGGCAACAAGCTAATTACAGTACGTGCATGACTTTCTCAAACAAAGGGAAGTTACCAGCCTAACTACTGTTCATCTGCTGGCCAAAATGGTAGGACTACTCTTCAAGTAGCTGATCCAGTTGACCTTAGAAACCAGTTGGTGCTTGGCTGATGTTGTGTAATTGTTGCTCCAGAACTGATTTTTCAGTAGAAGCGTCTTATCTCCCATAGTAATCATCATACCCTTTACCCTACGTTGGGTAAAGGCAGCATGATGAACAATTATATTTGTCCTTATCTCTACTTCTCTTGTTGATCAAGCTTTCCTAGGCCTATAGCGGCCTCAGTAGAATCACCCTCTGGTCTGAAAGTGCAGGATTTAGCATCAGGCCTGGGTAACAGTGTTAGGAGCCACAACATCTTTCTTCAGCAGATGGTAGCAAAGATTGAAGGCTCTTCTTGCATGTTGCATGATAATTTGACATCTGATGACATGTACCTGCATTTACCTTATTGCAAACCATCCCATTTCTGGCAGTGCGAGAGAATATGCAAGTTCTTTCTTTATATTGTAGACAGCAACTGAGGCATATGCCTGTGGGAACCAAAGCTTAATTGTCACCCTCCACAAAGTTATTGCATATCTCTGGGATCAATGAACTGTTTTTATAAAGAGTTTTGAAGCTATGTAGGAGAGATGCAAGAAATCCTATAATTAATTTCAAATAATTAAGATTAGAATGACTGAAGTTCTGCTTTATTGTGTAATTCTGGATGGGCCTGGAGGACCACTTTGCCTCATAACTGTATCTGTAGCTAACTTAGTTAACCATAACTAAGAGGCAAATACATGTTTATTGTATCCAGAAAATGCTAAGTTCAACCTCAGCTTCTCCACTTGCTTTTTTAAAGGTTAGTAGATGGCGGGAAAGACCTCAACTCTAACAGAATAATGCTAGAGTGGATAATCCTGGGCTCAGTCTGCTTTTTTTGTGATGAGGTTTATAGCAGCAGATTCTTATGATCTGAAACCGGGGGGGGGGGGGATGAATCCCTGGGGCCACAAGCAATCTCTCAGTCTCTTTTCTGGGGACACTGAACTGCCCCCTGTTTGATCAGTATTGCAAAAATTATATGTACAATTTCTCACTTTGTTGAGATAGATACATGAACATTATAATGTAAGCCCTACAAAAGGCTGAACATAGTTTAAAATGAAAAGAAAAATGAACCAAACCAATTCTGCAAAAATGTCCCATTCAGGAGGGATTCTCAGGCTCCAAGATACAACTTCAACCCCTGATCACAAAAAGTTTGCTCAAACATGATCTAACATTTTCCTTTCTGTTTCTCAGATGGCCCATCAAATTTATTTGTACTGTGCTTAATAAAATGTTATTTATCTTCTCATTTCCTTTTCTTTCTTTCTTTTTCCTTTTTTGGCATAGGTACCTCAGGGATTTACCAGGGACCTAATGGCCTGACAGGCTCTGCAGGGTTCAGCACAGTGCATCAGGTACAATTTTAATCAATTTTTTAAAGTGTGAAAAGGTGGTTCTTTTATACTGAAAATATTTATGGGCTGCCTTTCCATTCCAACCTCTTAATTGCCATCAACATATAAGTCACTATGAAAATGAATAATAAAATATCATAGAATCAGGATAATAATAGAGTATTCAGCTCAGCAAGGTCATAGCAAAATCAGAACAAATGATGAAAAGAGCAGAAAAGCAAAGAGCAACACAGCAAAGCTTACACACAAGTTGTTTGGTCCAATGCACTCAGGGCTCCAAACGTTCTTTTAAAAGACTGGCAAGTGGAAAGGGATGAAGATGATTCTTCAGGGAACTTGGTCCTAAGCCATTTAGGACTATGAAGGTTAATACCAATACTTGAACTTGGTCCTAGAAACACACTACCAATCTGTGCAATAATAGAATTGGTGTAATAAAATAATTGTGGGTTCTGGTCACTTTACTCCCACCATGTTCTGGATGGACACATTTTGTACCAGTTGAAGCTTCCAAGCTCTTTTCAGGAGAATTCCCTGATAAAGTTTAATAAACTTCTCTTTATATTAGTGGAACATTTGTAACTTAAGACAAGATCCATCTTCTCTGGGTAGGAGCAAAAGACCAGTCTAAACAGATGTGGTCATTTCTATCTGAGTTTTCAGATCAGTCACTTTCAAATTAGTATCAGACCTAAGTGACCAAATGTCTACTTAGCACTTTAGAAAGAATGCAATCACATTTAACAGTTATTGGAGATCTCTGTCTGAAGTAATTCTGTTTGACCTAGCTTAAGCTTCAACTTAATTTCTTCTCTATCCTTATGAATATATCAGTTCCAAAGGCCCTAACTTCTGTGAACAGAAGGTGGAAATGTATAATTGGTTATCTGCATGTTAATAAAACTTCATTCAAAATCTCTTGCTGATTCTGTTCTCCTTCCCACTAGCTCCATGTAGTAGTTGTTAAATAGTGTGAGTGACAAAACAGAGCCCTGAAGAATTCTGTAAATCAAAGACTGAGACACGTCATCTAGCATCACCTTCTAGAATTGATTGTTCAGGAAGGACTGAAGCCATAATAAAATGGAAGTTGACATTACTAACTTCGTTAAGATTTGTCTCAGATAATAATAGATCGTATCTGATATTTGGAGATAAAAACAAGCAGCAGACCTGTGGACACTCACAAAGTTCAATAACTTGATAGGAAACTTAGCAACCAAGTGCTTTAAAGATTATTTTGTCTTCTTCCCCCTCACCCCACCTCCATCTTTCCCTTCCTGCTCTGGCCAGCCTTGGTCCTGGGTCAGCACTTCAGTGGCAGTGCTGAAAGCATTTCACACAATACTGTATGAACAGCTTAAAAAAGAAAAACTAGCAGTTTCCATCATCAAATGAAGAGTTCCCACTTGTTTCTTTTCCATGCTTGGCTTTAGGTAATCATCAGTTGGTTTTGTTTTGTTTTTTAAGTTCTAATATATCACACAGTGCCCCTTGTGAATTTGATGCTGGGGGGGTGAGTTTCCTGATTACAAAATTCATGTTTTGTGTATGTTCACTCCTGTATATGTAAATCATATGTATAAATAAATGGTGTAAATACATTATATTCAGAAACACTGTATAAGAATGATTGTTGGTAAAGGTTGATGTAGGCCATGTATGAAGTCATGCCTCTTTTTTTTTCTTCTTCACACAAATTCTGAAATGAACGTTCAAGGCTAAATTCAAATCCGTGAGACTATGGGACATAGAAATATTTAAGAATTACACTCTTAAGTTCTTTTTCCATAAGCTTTGACAGCCGCTTCCTCTCTGGGGGATTGTAGGAAGGAGCACATGGAAGGTAACAGATTTAGTCCATGGCAGATGTAATTAAAAAGGGTTTCAAGAAGAAGACCTCTGCCTCAGGCTGTAGACCTAGGGTGAGCAATCACTAGCCCATGGGCTGCATAAAGCCCCCTAGATACATTTTTGCAGCCCCCAGAGTGTCTCAAGATCTCTGAACTTGTAGCCCAACTATAAGAGATTGATTAAAATAAGAATTACAAAAATGTGATCCATAAGTTCATAAAAGCATAACTTTTATATATTGGTTGCATAGAAAATGTTTTGCTTGTATAGGATAATTAGAATTATGTCTCTTCTTTCAAAGGAGTATTCTTCATATCCCAGCTTCACCCAAAGCCAGTATTCACAGTATTACAGCTCTTCCTACAGTTCATCTTATGTGTCTGCAAATAACATTAGCCCATCAACCATTCCAACATCACCTTATTCTCTCCAAGAATCATCACACAACATTAGCAGTCAGAGCACTGAATCACTTCCTGGTAAGTGCCTCAAATTAGAAATGTCTTTTTCATTATCAGTATTGTAGATTCATCTCTTAAACCATAATTTCAACCAGGGCTTAGTGCAGATCCTATTTTCAGTGGCAGGTGGGACTTAATTTAGCTATTAAAAATAACTATATGCAGAATATTTTTGTTTGAAGCATTTGTCTGTGATTTTTTTAAAAACCTGCAAGATAATTCACATTAGGTTACTTTGTGGTTTCCCCTAAAATACTAATTATTGTATTTCCTTTAAGATATGCATTTCTGAACCCATTAATATATAACAATATTATTTGGAAACCACACAACAGTCTCAGTATTATGACTGAACTGTAGTAGTGGTGATACCAGGCTAATAATACAAACTATAAACAAAACCTTGGTCATTCATTGATAATTATGTATATACTTGGAAATAACAGGAAAAGCTAAAAAATTACTTTAATTGGCAGAAAAATATTACTTTTTCATCACTTTGCAACAGAGAAGAAAGCAGAAATATTTTATGAACTTATGACTGTAATTTCTGCTATCAGAATGAATGTTACTTTGATACTTTGGGCACTTTTTTGAAACAGCCTAAGAATAATAACTTAGGATGTTACTTTAAGTCAGATTCCTGTTATAGGTGAATATCCAACACCTGTAAAAGACATAGAATCTGACAGGCAGCACAGGGGGACTGATGGAAAACTACGAGGGCGATCAAAAAGAAGCAGTGATCCCTCCCCAGCAGGTGACACTGATATTGAGGTAAGAGTAATAAGGGTTTATTACCCCTTTTCTTTGGTACTTAAATCTGGCATCTTCAATATGGCATTATGAGGCACTAATGTGCTCCCAAACTCTGGTTGTGCCCACTAGGTTCCCTGGCACCCACCTGAGTTTTTATTTTTCTAAAACCTTCCTTTAACTCAAAAGATGAAAAGCTGGCATGTTGCAAAGGAAAGTGGCCAACCCCAGCATCAGCTTCACTTCTAAGAATGCCTGTGGGACCTTTCTTAGAAAACGTTACAGTCTAATGCTTTGTTTGGAGGTACCCAGAAAAAAAGTTAGAGGGAACCAGAGGTAGAATTGTCTTTGGGGGTTGTGGGAAGGTATGGCAGGTAGCATTCTGGGAAATCTATGCTTCATAATTGCTTATGTTCCTATGGCAGCCATTTTGTGAATGAGCAAGCCCCCTCAATAACCTTTTTGAAAGAACACCCACAACCATATTATTAACATTTCATATTTGACCACCAGCCTGAAAAGTTTGGGGATTTTGTCTTACTGTAATAATGTGAGTGATGCATTTATGAGGAACCATTGGAGGCATTGAATTGGACATGTTTGGTAAAGAAAAGGGTGCAAGGAAACGTGGTAGTTGTCTTCACATATCTGAAGGGCTGTCATGGAGAAGGGGAGGCAGAATTATTCTGTGTTGTCCAAATGCCCATAGCACTCCCAACCTACAAAACCCCAAGGTAAATAAGAATAACTTTATAAAAATGAAGGCCAGTTTATCTTATTCTTTTTCTGGACAGCTGGCCATTATTCTCAATGAAGTATTTTTATTTCTAAGAGTGAGTTGGCATTTGAGATCCATGCTTTGTTTTATAACATGCTAATATCTCAATTGAAAAGGAATTTATTAAAATTTATGGGGAGAAGGATCCTAGCAAACATCAAATGAGATGCTTATCAACTCGGTGGAGACCATGAGCACTGCGCTGGGATTCCAGACATACTTGACAGCAGCCTTCTCTTTATCTTTCTATTTTAAATGAAAGGGAAGGGAATATAATCTAATCTAAGCCTCAGGTGATTTTTAAAAAGTAATGCATTATTTATTGATGTGACACTCAATATTCAAAGGGGCGAATGCTTTAAAATAGTCACAGTAAAAAACAGAGGGAAGGTGAGGGAAAAATGGAGGCAAAGAAAAAAGTGAAAATTTCATTTAGAAGTATTGTTGCAGTTACAGTAGTATATTGGGAATAGGAGACTTTTTTTAACTGCTTCAAAGAAAATGGTGTTTTTGTTTGTTTGGAATTAGTTTTTGGAGCAATCTGAAATAAATAAAGGAGGCATCTCATGGAAGCATTCTTTCTAGGTGTGACAGCAAGAGGAAAAGGGTGAGATATTTTAGGGAGCAGGAAGTCTTCAAAAGCTGAGGTAATGCCCCACACAAGCAAGATCACAGAGAGGAACAAAAGAGGTTCTTCTTTATATAGTTATGTAATCCAAAATGAGTATATTTCTGCCCGTAATTGGTATATTTTTGTCTATTTTTCTGTTTTTTATGACAGCGTGTGTTTGTATGGGACTTGGATGAGACGATAATTATTTTTCACTCCTTACTCACGGGAACTTTTGCCTCCAGATATGGGAAGGTACTGTTGAGTTCATTTGTGTTATTTTCCAACATTATTGTTTATCCAATGAGAATTGTAAGGGTAAAGACATCAAATATAGCAGCCCTAACTAATGTTACTCATCTGATATTTCTTTCAAACATTCCATTAACATCCAAGCTTTGTTAGATGATGTTTTCCCGTGTAGAATGCAATGCAAGATAAGTGGTAGAGCAGCCCATCCCCTCTCTAGTTCACTGTTGAGATCCATGAAGAGCCAGTCTGTTCAAAGGCAGGTCAGGGACCAGGGATTCAACTAGCACTGGATGGACTTGTACTTAGATGGAATTGCACTTGGAAAGTCACATTCATAGTTTTAGCGTAGTACTGGATTCACCTTTAAACCAAAAGGCCTAGATTTCAGCAGTGGGCAGGAAAGTTTGTTTTCAAAGTTCAGACTAAGAGCAATTATAGCCATTCCTAGAAAATTCAGATTTGTTTAAAGTTTGCATATCTTAATTAATTTACATATGGTTTAGACTTTTCTAATACACTCTGCTTTTGAAAAGTTGGACCTTCTGTGTCCAGATTATTGACAGGAGTTGTTTTTAGAGAGGTTTGCAACTACATTACTAGCACTGATTGTCTTTCCATCCATTGCTAGGCACCATTCATTAACCAAGGTAAGCTTATATGAGAGAAGGCTAGCTTTTAAACCAGCATTCTCTCATATAAGCTTACCTTGGTTTTTAAGAACCTTAGGAGAGCCCTTCATATCCCACTATGAAGGAATTGGGAATACTGAGCCTTGAGAAGAGAAGACAAAGGAGGAATATGACAGTATTCAAATATCTAAAAATACAGAACACAGAGAAAGTTTAAGACCTGTTCTCCATTATTCTAGACTATAAGATACAAAATAATGGATTTAAGTCACAAGAAGGCAGATTTCAACAGAATAATAGGGGGAAAAACTTGCTAACCATTAGAGCATGTTGACAGTAGAACTAATTACTTTGGCCAAGCCAAATCTACCTTTGTTGCCTCTCGACCTCTATATTGACTGGTGCTTGAAGCAGGTTTTAATATTGAGGTTAAGGTTATAAATTTCTTGTGCTACATTTTTATTTGCATTGTTAAAGGATGAATTTCAATTTTTAATTATAATTGTTTTTACCAGTATTTTATCATAAATGCTATGTTTGGTGTAAAAGTAGGAGATGAAATAAATAAATTTGTCTTTCAGAGAATGCCTGTGTGGGACAGTGAGCGCAGTTAGCTTCTCACAGGATGTAGTTCGGGATGGACTGTACAGCTTTAGACTGACTGTGAATTTTGAATGCTTCCTCATAATAAAAAGGAAAAGGAAAAAGCAACAACAATGCCCCTGTAAATTAAAATCATTATTGAAAGGGAAAATACTACTTGTTTGTCACAGCAGGTTTTGGGACTTGCTTTCTTTAACGTTCAGTTGCCTACTTGTTCTCTGCCTTGGTACCATCTTGAAACAAACTTATTATGAAGAATGTATTGATCATGTGTACCAGCTCTAATGCAAATTTGTATGCAAACAAGGGTCTCCACAGAGTATGGTCAGACAAATCAAGATAGTGGCCATGATGGTGCCATCAACGCCTATGAAAAACAGGCAGAGCTTTCAAACTGTCGTGGCTGCCATACTTTTTTCCCCAGTCTTTTTTATTGCATAACAGCCAGAAATTGCACAAGAATACAGTTACAAAAGAATAGAGATGAAAAGCAAGATAAAAAATAAAACATAATAAAAATGTTGTGCAGAGGAACTTTTAATAATGCATTCTCCCCTTCCCATTCTTTCCATTTTCCCCAACCGCTAACCACTACTTAAATATTTGTTTTACGCTTGAACATGAAATGTTGGAAATTGTTGCTTATATCTCTTTGGATCATTTCATCTGTTATTTTTTAATTAGTCTCTCAGCTCTTTTCCTAAAAAACATATTCCAAATGTCTAGATTTGCCTTGCTATATACTGTGTCATATATGAAGGAGCCATTCTTGTTTGAATTTAGTTAAATTTCTCTTATAAATTTGTACAGCCACTTTTGCCAGTGCTGCATATTCTCCAATTTTGGTCACCTATTCTTCTATAGTCAGCAGTTTTTCTTTTCCAGTGTTGTGCCAAATTTGTTCTTGCCACTGGCTGCATATATCTTAGTAAATTATGATCCTTTTTGTTTATGCTCTCTGGAATTATTCTGAATAAAAACATTTGTAGTTTCCATTCAAATTTTATTTTTATAATTTTTTGAATATTTGGGTGTTTTTCCTTCCTATACTTTTGACCTTTTTTGCATGGCCACCACATGTCATAAAATGTCCCTTCTTTATTATGGCATTTCCAATGTTTGTTATTGTATGATTTGTCCAACTTGGTAATTCCTGACAGAGTTATATACCATCTGTAAAACATTGTATACCAATTTTTCCTCAAATTATAGCTTGAAGTAAATGTTATTGTTTTTTTTCTGTAGCTCTTCCCATTGTTCCACTGTAAGTACTTCTTTGAAGATTTGCACCCATTTTATCCTGCAGTTTTTAATTTATTCTGTCTTCGTGTAGTATTTCAGTAGCAATTTCTAAATATGTCCCAATATATGATCTTGATTCTATATAAGTGTTTCAAATTCTGTCATCTTCCCCAATGTCCCTCCTTCTTTCTTGAGGTCAGTGGCTACCATCCTGACTTGTTTGACCATACCTTGCAGACACTCCTGTATGCACAACACTTCTGCATTGCTTTTCTGAAATGCCAAAGATTATCCTTTTAATGCTAGGGAGGTTGGACATGTTCCTAAATATATGATCTCCACAAGATTCCTGTCAATTTTATAGAAAACTCACAACCATTTCTCACCCATCCAACATTACAGTGAGGATACATTAAAAATATAACTCAGATTAAAAATGATTACACTTTTGTCATTGTTTATCAAAAGAACATGATTAGGATCTTCCTGCAAAGATTTACAAATGTGTCTAAAACCAGTTTCACAATTGTTTATCTTTGGAGATTGGATGTTGACAAGAGTGGTAACTTCAGGTATATTCTTTGTTCCCAGATATCAGGTGCAAGCTTGGCTTCACCACAATATAATTGCATTTTTTCCAGCATACAACATTTAACTAGTGGATTTCTCTGCAAATACTATAATGTGTATAATTCACAGATTGTACACATCTACAAGCTCCACAAAGTACCTAGGAGTAATGGCAGAACTCTAAAGTAAGCAGATCTTCATTCATATAACACTATTTTTACTGATAAAGAAAAAATAAGTTCATATTCTGTTGATATTAGATCATGTTGCTTCTTTCATGTAGTATGGAAAAGGTTATATTTGTCATTTATTAGAATGGGATTACTAACTTGGCAGTTATTTAAGTAGCCCTGAATATTGCAGCAATAGCTGCAGAAATATGATTTGTCATCATTTTATGATTCTACCAGTTGCTCTAGCTTTATGATACCTACAGCAATTTGGATAAGTAAATAGAAGCTTAGATTTATTGCCCTCTTTTAGATATGAATACATGTAAAAAGATCCAAAATGCTGATGATACAGAAACCTGATGAAGAGTTTGTAAAGATTCTAACATCTCCCTTTGAAAAGAGAGCATATGTATTCAACAACCTAGCAGCAGCTAGAAATGAAATATTAAGTATTGTGCTTAATATAACACTATATGATGCCTGGTACCTGTCCCTGTAGCTGATATAATTCTATAGTATACTCATAATTAAACTCAGATCAATAAAAGTACCACAGTGTTTCCCTTTGTGTCATTGGCCTCATAACCCTGATCTGTGGATCAGCAGCATCAGTTAGTCATGAATTAGCAAATTTCTTTTCTATCATGAGAAGGATATATTTTAATTATTAGTGTCAACTCCATTTCTCTCTCTCTCTCTCTCTCTCTCTCTCTCTCTGTACCTAAAACCATTATTTTATTATTAAAACAGAGAGGTTTTTTTCAATCCTTCTCTTAAAATAGTAGGATAGCATTGTTTGGGGACCTCATTGACATGTCAGAGAGACAAGGAGTCTTGAATCCTGTGGATGTTATGCTACCACAACACTTGAAATACTGTACTTTTGGTCCCTATTGCCAATAAATGTTGCACTAGCAGAGCTCTCAGAAAAACAAGGGAGGCTCCAGAATCACAATGCCACTCTGTCAATAGACTCTCATTCTCACTGTATCCAAGAACCCCTCAACCTAGTTTGGATTGATCTGTTTTTCTCAGATAATGCTTGGTGCTAGAGTCACAAAGCAATTACTTACATGTAGGAACCAGCCTTGAGCTATATGTGTAAAAAAAGTAATATTTAATGTGCATTTGAAGAAAGAGAGAAATGTATTATAGGTTTTTAAAGCATTAAATTCGTTTCATGGAAGTGTCACATGGATGTTTTGCTGGGCAAAGAATTGAAGAGCTAAGGAAAAGTTTTGGATTCAATAAGCAAATCTCATGTCAAGGACAGCTTTTCCATCAGAACTTGTTAGGCAATAGCTACCAGGTGATTGTTCTTACACAAAATACTAGTAAAATTTATGCAGTCCATTTTAACTACTCTAACTACTCTATTAAAAAGCAGTATTTCTTCAGACAAGTTCTCACTGTGCAAAAAACAAAGTTAAGGTGAAAGATTTACACAACCACAAAAGAAAACAGAGTTAAGGCAGAAACAAGTATGCAGAGATGATAAATTAATGTAAGCACTAAGATTCTGCAGGAGGTAATTAGCTATCAGTTTTAGAGCACAGTCAGAGGAAAAACATGAAAGACTTGAAAAAACTTTTTTATGCAGTATTTTTTTTTTCTATACAAATGACTGCATGGGCTCACCTTCCCTTTGCTAGTTGTGGCAATGTTGAAGTTATATTAGTTGTGCTAGTTCTCATTCTCTTTGTACTCAGTAGGTTTCCCATGCAAATCTTGCAATATAATCCTTCATTAATTACACATGACAGGCATTAATTCCCCAGTTGCAAAA